ATCAATTCTTAGTTTGTTGAGGAACCTCCATACTATTTTCCATAGTGGCTATACCAATTTTCAGTCCCACCAGCAGTGTATGAGACATCCTCTCCAACATTTGTTATTACTTGTCCTGTTGATCATAGCTATTTAAATAGGAATGAGATGTTATCTCATTGTGGTTTTGATTTACATTTCCCTAATAGCTAGCGATGTTAAGCATCTTTTCAAATAGTTGTTGGCCATTTGTATGTCCTCTAGGGAGAAATATCTGTTCAGGTCCTCTGCCCATTTTTTGATTGGATCATTTGTGTTTTTTTTTGTTGTTATTGAGTTGTATGAGTTCTTTGTATATTTTGGATATTGGGCCCTTATCGGAGGCATTGCTTGCAAATCTACTTTCTCATTCGGATGGTTGTCTCTTTACCTTGTTGACGGTTTCTTTTGCTGAGCAGAAGCTTTTTAGTTTGATGTAGTCCCATTCATTTATTTTTGCTTTTACTTCCCTTGCCTTTGATGACCTACAAATCTTGACCTGCTGTGCTACTGCCTGCTTTGGTCTCCTCCCCTTACTGAGTGCCCACATCCTGGCCATGTGGGCCTCAGGCAGTGCTTGGGACACTGGGTGCTTCACACCTCCCACCCTTTGCTCACTGTGCTTGCTCTGCCTGGGATGCTCCTCCTATGTCTTCACCTCAAGACCTCCCACTTATCCAAGGCAAGGATAGTTGTCCTCCTAAACTATCAGATGTGTGTTGAAAGGGCTTCTTTGTGCTTTTGGACATGCTCAAAAGCAGGGACTGTCTTTTTTTTTTTTTTTACGAGCTTTGGCCAGTTTTATTTAAAAATTTGCATGACTTACTTTTCACCAGTCTGTTCTGGCATGTTTCTAGTGATATCAGAATCACCTGGATCAATGATAGCCAGTTTTCACACTCTGAAGTATTTTCCACACAATGTGCCCAATTCGATATTGCCACTGTAGGGACGGACATCAGTCTTGGCCAACATGGTATAGTACTTCGGATTTCCTCAAGGCTGGGCATTTGTTGGTGAGGATGACCAGTTTTGCTTTTCAGAGTCTGCTTATACCCCATTATGTGCTTTTCACTTTCATAACAAGTTGGAGCCTAGAGTTGATTGACCCCAGCAACTTCTTTGTCTCCTTTGTAGCCACTGTCTTCCTGTCTTAGGTGCAGGATGGCTCCCAACTTAGAGCATACAGAGGACAGGACAGGAAGTTTAAGACCCAGAGGTCCAAATGGCAACCTGCTGGGCTCTCCAAGCTGCCTAAAGCTCAGCCAGTGGACCCCACTTGACTGTGTCCTAATAATAG